AAACCAAAATTTTAAAAAAGATAAATGAGAGAAAACTGGGAGGTGGGAGAGGAGGAGCAAAGTACTGGGGACTGAAGTGGAGCAAATTAAATTCCATGTGTGTATGTTTATGTCAAAATGAACTTCAATATTAGGATAACCATGCATTAATGAAAACATAAAAAAATTGAAATAAACTCTGTGGAGTCCATAATCCATGAGGCACATTGAATGTAGTTGCATGCAAAAWTATTAACCCAACTTTGACCTGAAGTTACAGAACAAAACTTAGATGTTATATATTTGAACAATATRAATATTAATRTTATTCAAATGAGGTATGTGAGCAATAATACATTCATATTTTATATGTGGAGTCACTAGAGCTAAAATTGAAGTAGGCTGTTTAAAAATGAAAAAAAAAGATATTTTCTCAAGTTTCACATTACTTGGACTAGTTGGAAATTTTTCTACACCAAAATTTGAAATAAAAATATGTATTATTTTAGTTGAAATATTATTTTTCAACAGATTTMCAAATGAATTGTAGAATTTTATTGTATTTAAGTTACCATTTGAAATTGCTGTTTATGAATGTACACTCTGAATAAATATATAAGAAAGTTTGTGGAAGCTTAAGTCATTAGAATATGCACACTTTTTTTCAGGTATTTATTTATTTATTTTTGTAGTGCTGGGGATTGAACCCAGGGCCTTGTGCATGCGAGGCAAGTACTCTACCAACTGATAGAATATGCATACTTTTGTGCTTCATAATTTGACTAAAGGGGACTTAAATCTTTTTATACTAGGCCTTTGAACAGCTAGAACTCTTAATTGACAGTTCTGAATCAGTGATTAACAAGCCCTTTATTATTAGTGCCTAGGCTTACAAAATATATAAGTAACTAGCAGAATATTTTTCAAGGRGATGGGGTGTTTTATAGATTAACTGGATCCCATAGAAAGAAAAAGACTGAAAAGATATCAGCACTTACTGAATATCTCTTGGATTGGATATTATGCCCAGTGCTTTTATATAGTTTTAGCAGCCTTTCTTCCTACCAATCCATGCATGAATTGCTTGTGAATCTTCCAAGAGAGAGAATAAAATATTTGTGCTCCCTATAACAAGTAAGTTTTCAACCAGCTGAGGTTACTAATTTCATTTTTGGGGTGATTCCAGTTATAACAGTGCTTCTTTTCTTCTCCTTCTCACTTCTTCCTTCTCCTTTCTCTCTCCTTCCTCCTTCTTCCTTTCTCCCTTACCCCCCTCCTCCCAAAACCTAAATCTCTCACCTGTAGTTTATACCTATGGCCTTCTTTCTATCTTCTGAGACTCACAGAAGCTTTTTCAAATATATGAAGCCAGCCTAACTCTGCTTAATTTAGCCTCTTCTCTTGTCTCTATTAGATCTGTTTCATGACCCATCACGTAATTTCCATGCCGTGACCATATGTAAGCCTTTCTGGTAGCCACATCATTCTGTTAAATCTCATTGAGCTTGTAGTTGAACAGAACCTCAGAGTGTGTCTCATAGTTGTTCCTTTTCCCAGGGCTTTTTTTTTTTTTTTTTGGTAGGGGGAGGCTTAAGAACAGAACTGGGCATTTAATTTATATTCTGGTCTATTCCACTGATAAATCTTGCTGAAATCTAGTTGGATTCATTATTACAGCATTTCCTTCAAGCTTCAGATTTGGTTTGTGTCATTTTAATCTTCTAATTCAGTTTCAGTTGGAAAAATTAATCAGAACACAGCTAAGGTTARTGGTTAGGGCTTTTCTTTAAATGGAGGCATTAATTAATGCTGTGTTTGCCAATGAGTGTTCCATGGGGCACTAAGCTCCTAAGATGCACCATGACATGGGTCAGATAGCATGGGAAATGCTTTCTATGTTAATCCTCCTTTGGGAAGTCACAGTGCACATTCCATGGTAAGGACTCTAAATATCTTAGTAAAGGAATCTATTCTTGTTTGACAAAAGAACCCTCATTAAAAAAAAAAAAAACACCAAAAATAATTAAAATACAAACACAACAAAACCCACACTACAGTATTTTCTTGTTCAAAAAGATGTCTTGAAGAACTTAGTTAATTGTCTTGTTAATAGATAAGATGTTTCCTTTCAGTTAGCGTTCAGTTAAATCACAAAAAGATATTAACATGTTCTTATTTTAGGGGTGGGTATCAGGAATTGAACTTAGGGGCATTCAACCACTGAGCCACATTCCCAGCCCTATTTTGTATTTTATTTAGAGACAGGGTCTCACAGAGTTGCTTACTGCCTCACTTTTGCTGAGGCTGGCTTTGAACTCTGGATCCTCCTGCCTCAGCCTCCCAAGCCACTGGGATTACAGGAGTGTGCCACTGCCCTCAGCTTGGCMTGTCCTTAATTGAACTCATGTTGACATCTATATCACCACTCTTA